TTTTTTAAAAATTGAGTATCTCGGTCTTTCTGCTGGGGTATTGTATCCCTTTCAGCCTGGGTAGGCCTTGGCAGGTAGCGCCAGAGCCAGCCTCTTATGAATGTTAATGATCTAAATTGTGTTGCTGGGGGCATAAAAACACTTTCATTCAAATTATTTTTAAAGGAAAACAACTTAACTGTGAAAACTTCGGTCCACTGCAGCATCATATCGGTTCTTACACTTAAATACAACACAGATCTGTGCCGCCCACAGAGCATCCTCCATTACTTTTAATCTCCTTGGGTTAGACCAAGCTAGAGTAGGGGCGTGTCTAGATCTAGATCTAGATCTACGTTCTCTAGTCTAATGTTTAGTTTAGTGCTTACAATTTTCTGCAAAATTTTAGTTTTCTCCAGACCTTATCTGCCGGTCTACTAGATCTAGATCTAGATATCTAGATCTACATCTCGATATATTGTCGCTTTGCCTTTCCTGAAACAATGCTGTAAATATATAAAGCTTAATCTACCCTTCACTGATGAAAGTTCTCATGGCTGAGTGAACAGTGTGTCTGCGTTTGAAGTCAATAATCATTTTGTGAGCGTGGGTTCGAATCCCAGTCCCAGCTTTTTTTCTTTCTTTCCTTCTTCTCATCGTCCCAACTTACCAACAAATTTTCCCATAATTATAATTTGCTGCTTTTTAGTTTTTTAAAGTGGTAAATAAATAAATAAATAAATAAATAAATCGCTTGTGCTGTCTGTTGTTCTCGTAATCATAACACACTGGGCTAAAAATAGGTTTAGCTGGTCTGACGTCCGTGGACGCAGATCTTTTTGAGTCGATTCTACACCATGAAAAAACTTCGTACATTAGTCTGGCCTGGAAATTATCTTATTTTGGTGGACGCTGATTTTCCCGATGCGCTCATATGACCTTATGCAGTTGCGAGCACCGTAAAACCTCTACTATTAAAAAAAAATTCCCGATCGAGTCTCGGTGTCACATACACTTCCGCCTGCCGCTATAGCCGACTGTTTGCGAGAAACCACAGCATTCTACCTGTGCGAGAAACCACAGCATTCTACCTGTGCGAGAAACCACAGCATTCTACCTGTGCGAGAACTCAGAAAAGCTGAAGGAATAAAATCCCACAAGATGGGACTAATTGGTGGTCGCCGAGTACCGCCGCCATGACTCCGCCGTTCACTGAAAAGTCTTGCCGGCTTCATCACTGTGTACACAGGTTAATTCACGACTGTTTACCAAATGTTTACTACCCACACGGCACATTTACTACCATTTACGACCTTTACGACCAGGGCGCTGAATTTACGACTTTTTAACGACTTTACGACCTTGCTGGGTGTAGTAACATAAAACGTTGTGTTCTGACTTAAAGAGAATCACTCCAGATATTCATCTTATTAGTACAACGTTGAGAAATACATTTTTATTGACACACAATTGTCCTCAACCAGGAAAAGAAACTA